AATATATACTGCATATGAAGACAGACATGCCTCTCTGACGTAACATACACTGCGCATGAAGACAGACATGCCTCTCTGACGTAGCATACACTACGCATGAAGACAGACACGCCTCTCTGACGTAGCATACACTACGCATGAAGACAGGACACGCCCCTCTGACGTAACATACACTATGTATGAACACTCATTTTGTAGTTAGATGAACAATTGACTGCGTCGAATTCAAGTCAAGTTTAAGTAAGTTTGACAATAAATAAAGCTCGGCCCAAGTTTCCATCGCTGATGCAACGTGCCCCACTAAAATAACATTTTTAATTAATCTGCAATATTTCTTTCTGTTCACACCACAGACTGACGTATTTAAAACTAGGCTGAACAGTGATCCATCGTTTTACGTGCCACCTACTGGAGATCCGCCAATAACCAAACCGCCCCCACCGACAACAACACCGGAACCAACATGTGAAGTCCCTGAAACGTCTCAAGCTGCGCGTTTAAATGTTTTTACTTCATACATGGTTACTGTTTTTTGTCTAATTTCTGCCATTTTCATGTAAATATTAAAAAATGCTAGTCGTAACACATGTTCATATATTGAATGGCACGTGTCTTCCTGTTATCAAATAAGATAGACGTGACAGCCATCAAAACTAACTTTTGGCAGTGATGTGAACCGCTCGCAGCGATTTCATGTGTCCCCAATACTGACAGCTTATACGAATACATTCGTGTTGATTGTTTATAATAATAATTATATCTAAAACAACAACCAAGTTCTAGAAAAAGTTGTCCTACAACGATGACATATGCTTGTTGTAAAACCAATAATCAAAACGGAGATTAAATTTCATGTAAAATACACTAACCTCCGAAAAGGTTTTGGACCTCCTCAGGTATAATCTTAGAGCCTCATCCCGTTCAATATAACAGACTTTTAAATATATTCGATTTAGTAACATGTCATTCACCAGGTTTTAAAGACATTATTATCAGTTGCGTCCTATACACATTTGCTGGCATGATTATATCATAAACCAAAACAGTATTCCAAAATTGCCATGATATCTTTCAACATACACCAAGAACTAAATATGTGGTAAATAAGTACTCATATAAATTTGGCTACAACCTGCCATAATATGATATGCACTCTGTTAGGTTGAACATCAACTGTCCTGATGTAATTTCTTGGTATTAACCTTGAGGTTCATGTATCATTCATTTCATTTTGTGTAGCACATTAATTTGTGTACCACTGCACACATTGTTCAAACTATGTTCCATGCCTGTTTGTCCTATCCATTGTTATATGTCCGTTGTTATATGTCCATTGTACGTTGTTGAAATCCCTATCGATTGTTGATTTTAAAATAATGGATTGGCGTGTCAGTGCTTTCATCAGAATACTACTAGTATAACAAGTTTGCCTAGTAAACATTCTAACAAATAACTAAGCTTAAACTATATCACTTCAAATTACTTTCTATGTACATTCTATCTTTCTTTTCATAGCTTTTCCTATGATTCTTACACCAGACTGAGTTTTTAATTATATTAATTAATTTAATTTCGTGTGCAATGTAGTCATTTTAATTTCTTCGAGAAATTTTGCGAGTTTCAGTAAACTGTATACATTTTTTTCAAAGAGGTTTATCATGTTATTCATAACTACATTTAACTCAGATATAATAAATACTTCATATCTGGCACATTCAATTCCTTGACCTACATTGTTATACTATGATGAAGAATATCAGTCAACAAGCATTGTTCAATTTCTCATGAAATTCACCCACGGTTGGTTAACATAAATAAAAAATATAGCAAGCATGTTTGCATCATTAATATTTGTGGAAGCTCTAGCTCTGGTTTTTTGATCAGTGGTATCATTTCCTGTGATATGTGCTCACCGAATGCCAATATTCAACGTCAATAAGCAAAATCTGACATCATCAGAATCCACGAGCAAATCTACAATTCTGGAAAATACAGTCAATTCACAAGAAGACATACACGTAAGACGTACATGCACCGCCTTGAAAGCATCCACTGCGCACCTTCCGGAGATATACATAAGAGTAAGGCAGCGGGCATCGACCTCAAAATGAAAGACTTGACGGTTGTAGATTTGTATATTTTGCTATTTTTTTCGTGACCTTGCTACCAGTTCTCATTATATAAATTGTTCATACCTTTTATTTCATGATTTCACTCTCCCAGGCAGATATATGTCACCATACTATTTTGTCGCGATTTTGTGGGCAACAACACAAATAGCCTTTTGTTAAAAGCCAAGAAATTTTGATTCGTTTTAGTGGTTTTAATGGTAGTCAATTAAGTGACACTTATTTTAGTGTCAATATTCTGATTGATTATTTGGATTGTGTCTGTATTATATTTTTTTTTTCATTATTATTACTGTTTGGTGCAAGGCATAATAAAAAAACGACTTGCGAATGAATGAGTGATTTATTCGAACTTTGTCTTGCACTAGTGAACCTAGTATTGCCACCATTTTGAAAATCACGTTATTTAGCTGTTGAACGTTTGGCATGCAACATGTCTTATTGTCTACTACCGTATCTTAAGGAGTCTTTTTGAATATTTGTGCAGTTGAGTTTTTCAGTAAGACCCATTGGTTATAGATTTCAACAACGCCAGGTCATTAGGCACACATTTCACAGCATTATTGTACGTCTAATAATGATGGCAAAATAAATGTGTCCATCGAGATGGGTTTAACTGTATAAAACACTGTAATTGCATTACAAATGATTGCCACTTGACCCGGTAATGTTGGCTTAGCTATAGCATTTATTGTCAATTCCATTGGGACAGCATGTCTTATAAAAGGCTGCGGTTAAGTCACAATTTATAAACATGTTGAACAGTTGATGGAATAGCTAGATAGTCAGAATGTCGGAATCCCTAAGTTTACCTACACCCAGCCTCACCGCATCATTTTATTATTTAGCATGGTAAAGATGGCAGCCTCAATCTCAGGGGGCTGTTACTGGCTGTTACTTACGCGAGATTTGAACGGGACTTACGGTATTATGGAGGGCGGAATTAAAAAAAAAAATCACAAAATCAAAGTAAAATAATAAAATAAAAAGGCATTAATAACAAAAGTAATAAAAAACAATAAGTTTTTAGCAAAAATAATTAAAGCTCGTACACTACATCAGATTTTAATCAGATTGCCTCAGTCCCAAAAGAAAGGAGGGACCGAAACTCGGTATTAAGAATTTGCTGTGATTAGAACCCCACTGCCTGACCTCAGACATGTTCAATGCTTGCATCTGTATGAAGAGTAATGGCCCTCTGCAGCCACATTATACAATGTGAAAACTGCATCTGGAGAGAAAGATAGGACTGTCATTTTTTGAAATTGGCACGGGTCAAGTGTTATCAGAATCATAATGAACATTGCTATTGTATATGGGATACATTGCATGATGTCTTTGTTGTCAACACGTTTAGCTTCGACATCCACTCATGTGATGGCGATTTCCATGATAATAACTAGCGCCAGCTCTGACTAAGAATATTCGAGATTTGTACAGTACTACTGTCCATTCAGCTACATCACAATGCTCATAACACCCCGCCTTACCGATTTACAAAGAAAGAATCTAAAAGGCTATCCTACTTTGAGAACATTTTTGGCAATGTTGTTCACTGATCACAGCTGCTCTCTCCCGTAATGAAGTCTGTACCAACACCAAGCACAGTTGCCCACTTCTGTAATGGGATCGGTGCCAACACCACGCAAAGTGGCCCTCCTGTAACTGAATCGATGACAACACCAAGCAAAATTTCCCCTTTCTTATCGGCATCGATGCCAGCACCAAACAAACATTGCCCCCCCGTAATGGAAGTGGTGCCAACACAAAGAACAATCCCCCCCACCGTAACGGAATCGGCACCAAACACCAAACAAAGTTACCCCTCCTGTAATGGAATCGGGCCAATTTCAAGCAAAGTTGCCCCTCCCGTACGGAATCTATGCCAACTCAAATGAAAGTTGCCCTCTCCGTAACGGAATCGGTGCCAACACAAAGAACAATTTCCCCCTCCCGTAACGGAATCGGTACCAACACCAAACAGAGATGCCGCTTCTGTAATGAAATCGGTACTAACACCAAGAAAAGACGTCCCCTCCTATAACGGAATTAGTGCCAACACCAAACAAAGTACTCCCCTCCCGTAAGGGAATCGGTTCCAACACAAAGAACAATTTCCCCTTCCCGTAATGAAATCGGTACCAGCACCAAGAAAAGATGGTCCCTCTTGTAACGGAATTAGTGCCAACACCAAGCAAAGTTGCCCACTCCTGTAACGGAATTGGTGCCAACTTCAAGCAAAATTCTAACACTGTGACCAACAGCCCACCACATTCCCTAATACATGATGGAACTGTGTAGTACAAGCAATTAAAATTAAAATTTGTACAAGTAGCAATGATGTTCTTTAAACTGGTAACTGGCACAGAAGTAGGACGACTTGACAACTCATTATGACCATTACGTCACAATATAACTTAAGACCCCTGTTCAGGGTTCCGTAGAATTGTAATCATACATCTATCGAAATGTAGAATTTTAGTCAAACTGTAGAATTAAGACCCCACCATTATAGTCAAAATGTACAATTAAACTCCCACTATTTCAGATAAAATTAAATATGCGTAGCTAGTGTATTTCAACATTTTACTACGTCACTTTGCCAGTATACTCGATTTCATCCCTCGCCTCTAAGCTATTGTAACTCTACTGGCACTATGGGCCACGATGGGCGACCCTGCCACGTTTCAGACAAATACCGTTGAGGGCAGCGAACACAGATTTGAAATACTGCAGCCATCCGAAGGAAGGCGGGATAGAGACTAGAAATCGAGTGTATAATTTCGATTGCGTTGCAGTCACAGTTAAGTTGAAAGCTTTATAAGGTCAACGTCGTGTAAATATGTAAACAATATAATAATAGATATCAATATCTTTGGTTTGGTAGGATGGCAAAACGAATTATTCTTCAAGTTGCTTTGCGCCAGATTTGTTTCTGTCTTAGCAAGAATAGTCACGATACTGCAGTCGTCGTGGAAGAACACGTTAAGCCCACTTGTCACATGATATTCAAAACCAATCTTGTTCTGCAATAATTCTCATAATAATAATCATTTTGTATTTGTTATTTTTTTTCCAAATAGCATTGTAGTTTTTATTGCTTCTATATAAATCTCAATTCAAATTTCAAAACTAATTTTTGCAAGATCATCCATACTTTTATACGCAATTGAAGAGTCCAACACCACCAGCCGCCGTTAACCACCCGATATATGGGATGCCAAAGAATACATGGACGGCCTGGCATGCTGCCTGATGATGAGATCCAACATCTATTCACATTTGAAGTTATAATTCTAGAATATGTTACTATCTTAGTAGTTACGTCCGTTGTTATTATACCATATTATTTATTAAATATCCATCGATAACGAACAAATATTTGAATAAAATGTATACCAATTTAAACGTTATATCAACTTTGGTTACTCATTTTGCATCTTCTGTTGTACGCGGCGACATTAGTGAATATTATCAATCAGTAAATCGATTTTGTAAATATATGTAGGGGGTCACTATATAAAATAGCTGTCCTGTTCGCATATGCACCAACATCGCAATGGTGTAACCGCATAGACCAACAATTCACAGATGAAAACACATAGTACGCCACAAGCAGTTATTAATGAATTCGCACACACCAGCAAGCATTAGTGTAACACATATGCCCACAGGGCTCTGGTGTAAACACACAACCAACAATGCTAACGACAGTAATCTCAATTTAATTCGAGCAAGTTGTGAATTCTGCACTCCATTTCCGAGTCGATCGGTCGTAAGATTACGTTTGTGCCAAATTCAACATTATTCTTAATTCAAGATCAACCCAAAACCTCATCCTTTCCACAATACATTCTCGTTCATATAACTGGGATTTCTGTGTTAAATTTTAAATATGGTAATTATTTTGTAAATACATTGTTACACAGTAGACAAGTGTATCGATCTTTTTATGCACCTCCTAGATACGTTGCCAATGTTCATCTGAGACGTTTACGGTCTTACTATTTGTTAATTATCTCATGACCTCTTATTAGTAGCGTTCACGTACAGCTCCTTAACACGGGCTAAGAGGTCAAATACATTATCCCCAGCCATAGAGGGGATAGAGGGACTTTGACCCAGCCGAGAAAACCTGCGTGGACGCTTTGCACGGGCTAAGAAGTACGGATTAAATGTTGCTCGAACTATGTGTACGTACGGTGAACGCTGAGATCGGGCCATCCGACCAAAACGCCATTGTATTTAATGTTCATTTAGAAGATTTACTATTATATTCATAATTATTCATTTCGGAATGCCATTTCCGACATGACAATCAACGCGAACACACCTAGGGTCATTGTTCTTGAGAAAAAAATAAACCGACGATGAGACTATGTGCTACTTTCTGTTATTTTGCACTTTCTAAATTT